ACTGAAGCAGGTTTAGGGAGTAGTTGGAGTCGCATGGGCCAGGTTGGGCGAGGATGTGGGGCCTGACTTGCTTCCACGACGTGCTTCTCATGCGTGCTGTGTCACTCACTCAGCAGCCACCTTCTGTCCTCGGGAGAGTGGTGTGGGCCAAGGGCCTTGCGGTCCTGGACAGGATGAACTTGGCCTACATTTGGTAGAATCTACAAATGTCACAGTGAAGGCAGCAGGGACTTGGAGCCCCCTGCCTAAAGCCCTTTTGGGGGCCTCCACTGTCTTCCAGGGGACCCTCCACCCCCATAATCAGCCTGAATGGTGTACTTTTCAACCCCAACCTGCATGTCAATAACCTGGTGTTCTTTGGACACACCACACTGCCATATGTGGTTCTAGCCATGTCTGCCTTTATTCATTTGTATCACATACTCTGTCCCAGACAGGAGATGAGCCTAGGAAAGAGGCACACATTTTGTTACAGACTGTGCTGTAACAGACACTCAGCAAGATGTATGTGTGTGTGGGTCTGGCTATCCACATGCTCTACTTGTCCTCAGACCCACTTATTCCTTTATGGTCTTCCTTTCATTCATATGACTTACTCTACCAAGAATTTCTTTTCTCTCCCCCATGTTTCTGAAACCTTTCCATCCTTTAAGGCCTTACTTTTCTAAGAAGCTTTCCTGACCACTTTACCAGCTCAATGACTTTATCACCCTCTGGTTAGATTTTCATTTGACACGTCCATATCTTGTTTCACTGTTGAATACACGTTTAACCCACATCCTCCAGTGTCTGGGTCTGATTTATCTATCAACCCTAGAGCATGTACAGTATAAGACTGGCAACACAGCTCAAGTATAAGCAGAAAGTAATTGGTGTGTGTGTGTGTGTGTGTTTTGAGTCATGTTCGTATTTGCAGTTTGTGGATACTGAGGGGATCTGTAGTGTAACTGAATGCATGTATTTTGTGTAATCATTTTTCCAGCTGATGTTTGTTGCATAACCTCAACTAAGTATCAAGTGTTTGGGTTTATCACAGTGACCTTTGTGTATTTACTGTATGTATCTATGTGTGTGCAGTTTATGAGTGTTTACCCTACTGTGTTAATATGCTGTTCATGGGCATTTGGGGATCTCTGTGGTGTTGCATTTTGTGTGAAGGAGACGCATGAACTGTAGATATCATATGCCATGTGTGCAAAAATTACAGTCTTCAGAACCGGTGGACACAGGTCTGGCAGACGTTTTTACTCCGTTTATTTTGACCCACCTCCAATTAAGTCATCCAACTCCCTGGGCCTCAGCTCCCACATTTATATAAAAGGAGGAGGGCTGGGGGTTTAGCTCAGTGGTTTCACCACCTACTGCGCAACTGCAAGGACCCGAGTTTGATCCCTGGTACAAAAAAAAAAATTTTTTTTTTAAATAAAAGGAGGCTATTACCTGTCATCCTATAACTATGTACCAACAGGGAGTCCATCTTTTAGGATGTTGTGAGTATGATAGATGAGAAGAGTAATTAGTCTGAAGTGCCCAGCATAGAGAGGTACAGTAGGCACTCAATAACTGATTTCCCTTTACTCGTGTGTGTGTGTGTGTGTGTGTGTGTATCTGTGTATGAGTCCAGGGAGTATCTGACCTGGACTTCTAGATGTCTACCCTCACTGTGCAGCCCCATTTTTACACTCCCACCCCAGGGTCCACAAACTGAGCTAGCAGAGTCACGGGATGGAGGAAGCAGGACTAGGATTCAAAGCGACTTCGGAGAAGCTTGAACTTAGATTTGTTGTACTTAGTGATGAGGTCCAGTTTGCTGTGACCCAGAGTCAGCCGTTTTTCATTCTCAGACAGATCATTGTTACCATTCTGATGGCCACCAGTGGGGCCCCTAGGAAGGACAGGCTCAGGTTCTTGCCTGGCCCCCTGCAGCTGATGGTACTTGGTGATGAGGTCCAGCTTGCTGTGGCCCAGAGTCAGCTGTTTCTCGTCCCCAGGGCCTCCTCCAGCCATTCGAGCAGTGCTTGGTCCTGGGAGACCAGTGGGCCCAGGCCCCTCATTCCCGAATGGGCCAAACTTGGTGATGAGGTCCAGCTGGCTATGGCCCAGCATCTGTCTTCGCTCATCTAGACCCTGCTTGCCAGGCCTGGCTGGGCAGTTGGCTTCAGCAGGCACTCTGGAGCTCTTACCCTTGGGGTCCTGTACCAGGAGGTCCAGCTGGGCATGGTGGTGGTTTGGGGACAGCCATCTGTCCTCCTGTCCTGGGGCTACATCACCATGTCTGAGGGCATCTGACTCAGGGGTAACTCCAGCATCCTGGGTCTGGGGCAGGAGGTCCAGCTGGCTATAGCTCTGGCTCAAGGACAGCCTCCTTTCTTCTGGGGCTTGCTCATTTGGCTGATGGGCACCTGAATTGGGGGTAACCCCAGGGTCAGGACCTCCCTCTCGGGCTCTAGGGAATGGGACTAGAAGGTCCAGCTGGCCATGGCTCTGACTCAGAGATGCCTTCTTCTCCTCTGTCATCTCCAAGGCTGTGCCAAGTATCTGGCGACTTCTTGGGGGACTGAGCTTCTGGCTTCCTGGAAGCCCATTCTCTGGGAGCCGGGACAGAACTGGGAATCCCCTGGGAAAGTGGAGGAGAGGGCGGGGGTGGGGGAGCAGAGGTGACCCCACTGCCTGGGTCAAAGGACTGGGGCTATTGTGGTTGAGGGCAGGGGAGGACTGGGACCATGGGAATGCTCCCAGCTTGCCCAGGTTGGCCCTGTAGGGCCCGTGAGGGGAGCTATGGTTAGGGTCTGACAGCTGTCGATGCAGGGAAGGCTGGCCACCACCTTCTCGATGGGCAGGGCCTGGGGGTGAGGACCCTATAGCCGTGTCACTACAGCCACCACCTCCTGGTAGAGCAAGGTAGGAAGAGCGGCCCGTGAGAGGTGAGCGTTTGATGCTGCAGAGACTGGTGCTAGAGGGTGAGGAGCATTCAGGGCTTGGGATGCCAGGCCCAAAGGCCAGGCCCACCGGGGGAGGACGTGGTACCCGGGGAGACAGTGAATCCTCAGTGCCACAAAAGCCTTCCACAGGCTGTGACTCAGCATACAGACAGCGGAACTCCCGATCAAAGTCTTCCACGATGCGGCCCCTCAGCTGCAGCACCATGCTGGTGTGGGCCTGGCTGCAAAGCCAAGTGAAGCTGGAGACAGAGGGTCTGGGTCAGGACTGAAAAGTACAGGCCCAGGGGCTCAACAGGAATCACAACCAGGGAAGAGGGCTGGGGATTTAGCTCAGTGGTTCTGCCGCCTGCCTCACAACCAGGGAAGAGTGCTGGGAGGTGAATCAAGACTCCACCCCCATGAGGCTGGTAGTTCGGGGACAGAGGTCAATCTCCAGAGTCTGTGCTTGCCCTAGTCCTGCCTAGAGGACTTGGACACATGGCTGCCCTCTCGAGGCCTGAACTGGCCCACCTATAAAATGGACCAGGAACCACGTTCCTAAAGACCTTCTGTTTCCCATGTCCAGTAGTTACTTTCTATGCCAAGGGCATTCAAGTGATCCTTCCACTAGAGTGGGCTCTTCCTCTGCTGATTTCCTCCCACCGTAGCTCAACCCCTGAAGGGGAACTGGCATATGGCAGGTGCTTAAAATATGTTGGAAGAGATGAATAGATACATAGATGGCGGAAACAAAGATTCCCTTATCAGCCAATGGCACAATCCCAGATTCCTCTCCCTGTCACTTGCTCACCTGTAGCTGCCTGCGACCACCTGCTCACAGTCGATGATGATGAACTTCTCCAGAGCCTGCCCAGTGAAGCGGCGACCTGCCTTGCTGCAGTATGTGTCCCCACATGTGCTCCGCACACGCATGTTCTGGGCCAAGGGTGGAGGAATATTGGGGGGTTGACCTTAAGAGAGTGGAACTAAAGCCATGTCTATACTCTGATCCCAGCTACAAAGAACCTGGTTCCCCACTCCCAAGGACTCCCCGAGTGCTCATTGGCTACCAAATGGCTCTTCTGCCCTCCTGACTTCTCAGCCCTGGTTGCTGCCCTTGGCCCACACTAACCGGTAGGTGACCCCCATTGAGGTCCATCTTGTAGCACATCTCCAGGAAGTGCCTCAGGTGCTCCTCTGCCAGGAGCAGGTAGACAGGGACAGCACGCCTGCTTGAGGTCTCCATGAGGTCACACAGAAGCTCCATGTCAGTGAATACATCCATCACCACAGCCACCACCTGGGAAAGGAGGGGAGCTAAGCCTACCTGGGGCACTGTTCACATCCAGACTAGTCTGGGTTCCCAAGAAGAGTAGGGGACTGAAAGCCAGGAGGCCAGAGCCTGGGAGAACATCTGAACAGGATGGGCTTTTAGTGATGCCTACCTCAGGATTCTTTTTTGGTACCGGGGATCGAACTCGGGACCTTGGGCTTTCGAGGCAGGCACAGGAACCACTGAGCTAAATCCCCTACCCTACCTCAGGATTCTTAACCTGAGCATGGGGAGATTTGGCTGTTTTGAGCCCCTCATTTGAAAGTTTTGTATGCATTTTTCAGTGGACAGAGTATTTGTCATACCTGTGGATTAGCTGTGCTAGTCCAAAGTCCCACTCTATGTTGAGGCCTGGACCCTCATTCCTAGGCTAGTCTCTGGCCCAGCAGTAGATATCTGAGGCTCCCCTCTCAAGGGAGAGAACTGAAAGCCAGTTGTTGGATCGTCAGTGCCTTTGCCACACCTGCCTCAGTTTCCCTGCAAAGCTGCAAAGGCTTGATGTGACACCTTACACTCATGGAACCAAGTTTCATACTCAGTTGCCTAGAGCTTGTGCCTCCCATATAAATTGTTGCCTTGGAGAAGCACCTGAAATACCCCTGGCACACACCCCCCCCCCAGTCCTCCAGCTGCCCCTTCTTCCCACTGCATGTATCTGCTGAGATTATCCCCTTCAGGGCAGAGACAAGAGGCAAAAGATACAGAGAGTCCAGCATTGCAGCTCTGGAGCCACACAGACCTGAATTCAAACCCAGACCCTGCCACTTCTGAGAGGTAGGGCCCAGGGCAAGTTGCTCACCTCCAGAACCTCAGCTTCCTTATCTGCTAAATGGAGATAATGATAGCTGCATCTCTGAGTTACAGGAAATTAAATGTGAAAATGCTAGACACAACAGAAGCTCAATAAGTGTGCCATTCCTGCTGCCTTCTTAATAAATGAGGACACTGGCCACAGGGAAAGGAAGTACTTCCCAAGGTCACTCAGGGAGTTAGTGACAGTCCAGCACAGTAGCCTGGTTCCTAGTCCAGGGCTGGAGGGGTCTAAATGGGGGCAAACAGGCAAGGCACTGGTGTGGGGGAGGTGCCCTAGTCCACTGCAGAGGCCTGGCCAGGAGTGAGGGGAACAAGGACAGGCAGGAAAGATCAAAGGGGGATGGTGATGACAGCAGCAGCAGCAGCCTCTAATAACCCTGTTCCTGATCCCAGTCTGGCCTGGCTCTCCCCTGCCTGGGGCACAGGCAGACTTGCTGGGAAGGCTAGGGAGGTACTGATCCTGACATCCTCATCTCTGCTGCAAGAGCCTAACCATACCTCAAATCCTGCAGGGAGTTATTGTGTCTACTCCCTTTCTCCCGAATACAAGCCAGGGTTCCAGGAGTGAAGCTACGTTGCTGTGTGGTTGGAGTCTTTCCACACGTGACCACTCCTATCTGCTCTCCTGATTCTCTTTCCCCTGAACCCAGCAACTTCCACTCCTCCCTGCTCCTTGGTGCACAGCTAAACACCTAGGCCTCAAGACCATTCTAAGGCTGACAAACCAGTGTCCCCTCCCCTCTTCAGGCCTAGCAGGAAACAGCACATCAGGACAAAGTACAGCTGGGAACAAGAGCCTGAATCAGGGACCTCCTTCTTGACCCTGAGGACCTCTCTGACCAAGTCTCAGCACTTCCCTGGCCTCAATTTCTTCCTCTAAATCAAAGGGATGGCTCAAATGTTCTCCAAGTTTGGGTCTTAGTTTGGGGGTCATAAGAGTTAGAATCTGATGAAAGCTGTGGACTCCCAAGAAACATGCATTTTTAGGGGTGTTGTGGAGTCCTAGAAGTCCATGCCCTGTTCTATGTTTATCCATAATGCTCTTGAAGACCAAGGGGTTACCAAGGGAAATAAAACACATGTCCGTCCTCTCACAGCTTGCTATCTCAGAGAAGCCGGAGTTTCTAGTTCCAATTCTGCACCTAAGTTGCTGTGTAGCCTTGAGCTGGTCCCTCTCCCTCCCTGGGTCTCAGTGTATACCTCTGTGAAGTGAATGCCTGAAGAGATGAAGCCCTTACCTTTCGAGCTTGGCTGAAGAGGAAACGAAGCAAGTCCTTGATGTTCTTGGCCTTGTCCCTCTGGAAGTGGGCCACGGCCTGGGTGGGGCTGAAGCCCGTGGCCTGTGGAACCTCAGGCCAGCCCAGGTCCAGGTCTGGAGGGTCTACATCAGAGGCCATGGGGAAGTAGCTGCCTGAGGTGACTTCAGAGAGCAGGCTGAGGCGGTCAGGCCCTGAGGCCTCTAGGCCCTGGGGCTCACTGAGCTCAGGACCCGCACGCACATGGCTGGTCATGTAGTCCACATCCAGGGCACTCAGGAAGGGCAGCTCATGCTCCTCAGAGATGACCTGCAGGTAGGCAGCCTCACCCCGTTCCAGGAGGGCATCGGTTGCCAGCCTAGCCGCCTCGCTGTGCTGCAGCACTAGGGGTGAGCTCTCCCGCCACCAGGACCGCTTCAGTTCCTCCACCCGGCCCCGCAGGGGCCCTGCCATTCCCTGGGTTCCTTCAGGCCCTAGGCCTCCGAATATGCCTGGCCACTTGGTTGTCTCACCGGCAGGCAGGCTCCATTGCCTGCACCTGAGTTGGCTGCAGCAGGAAGAAGATACTAGCTACACTGTCTCTCGCTGGCCCTCCCAGTGTGAGGCAGGGCCCCCAACTTGTCGCCACCCTAAGTCAGAGCTATGCTCCGCCCCATTGCCCCTGGCCTCTGGAACCTGTCAGGTCAGCCCCACCTGTCTGCCTGTGTTGGGACTCGCCTGCCTGGGAAGCCTCAGTGCCAGGCCTTTAGTGCACACTGCTGTCTCCCTCCCCTCCCCATCCCAGCAGTGCCACCCCATCCCACCAGGCTCCTAGCAAGTCTCCAACCCTGACCTTCTAGGGACCAATGGAGGCTGGAGACAGTTCAGAGGGGCTGAGCCTGCTCAGAGATGCGCACACCCACACTCCATGGTGGTGAATGACTCAGGACACCCAGAGAAAAGACATGAACGCACAGGCAGATAGACTTACTGACAGCTGACTGATGTGCAGACAAGAACCACAGGCTGATACATGCAGACCACATGTTTTTTTAAAAAAATTATAGTCACTTTTATTTTCTTAAAATTTTATTAGTACATGTTTGCGGTACATAGTGATTATATTCATCATGGGGAGGTGGTACATATATATAAAACACATCTTAATTCTTTTTACTTCCCCTTTCTTCCTTTCCCCCTGCCTCCATCTCTTGGTCAGACCACACATTTTCAGCTTTTTTGTTCTGTTTTGTTTTTTGAGACAGGGTCTCGTTACATAGTTCAGGCTGGCCTTGAACTCACTATGTAGCCGGAGCTAGCCTCAAACTTGTAGCAATTCTCCTGTTTCATCCTCCTGAGTGCTGGGATTACAGGAATGCCCCACCACACCCAGCCAGAGACCACACATTTTCCTTAAGCCCTGTCATGTGAACTGACCCAAAGCACCAATGTAGACACTGGCTATAACCCCAAACACCACCATGGCTACTGCATGTCTTGGCCCACATGTACACAGGCCCCAAACAAGAGCTGAACAGAGTGTCACACAAAACTGCCAAGGACATCAACACTGATCTGTCCCACCATCCGGGCCTCTGTCCTCTCATAATCACCTTGCTACTCCCCACCATCTCAATCTCAGAGCTCACGGGTCTCACCCACCCACCCTCATTCAGGCTCAGAGCCCACCTATCCTTCACAAAACTGGAATAGGAGCCCTCACCCTGGCCCCAAGAATGGCCTGGAAGTGTTAAAACACACATCCTCCGGACTCCACACACCCTGAGATTCAGAGCCAGACGGTCTGAGATGCTGTGGAGGTCTGGAGCTCCCCAAGGCAGTGGGGTGAGGCCCACTCGTGAGACATGCTATTCCAGAATTTGTGTTTCCAGCACTTCGATTCCAAGGAGACTCTTGGCCCAGTGGGAGCCAGTCCTCGGCCTTCTTCCCTCCTTTGGGCTGGATATTAAATGGTTAGAGTGCCAAAGGTTTCAGATAGAATGCAGCAAGGGCAGGAGGCAAATAGGGCAGGCATCTCTGTCCCAACAAAGGCCATAGTCCCAGAGTCCATGATCTGTCCTCAGGACAGGGGAGAAGCTTTGTTCTTGAGAAGGAGTCAGCAGGTGGCAGTTGCAGAGTGGGCCCAGGCCAAGCACAAGTGCTCACCACTTTTCTACAGGAGAGATGAGCCTTGATGAGGCTGGTAGAGACCAGAGACTTTAAAACCAGGCCTGGAACTGTGTTCAATACTGACTGTGATGGTGGCTTATCTAGTCTGTGATCATGTCCACAATGGGAGGAGAACAGAGCTTTGCCATGGTGGGGGGCTTAGAGGGGAAGGGCCCCAGGGGACATTGGGTAGCTATAGGTCAGGGGTTGAATGCCTGCCAGCCCAGCCCAGCCCAGGTGCGGTTACAGAAACTGGAGCCCAGTTCCTAGCAGGAGGCCCTTCCCTGGGGGCGGAGAAGCTACATGAGTAGCAGGGAGTTGGGTAAATAAAACTAGGCTGTGGGAGGTGATGAGCTTTGGGGGCAGCAGAGGTGGCAGGGCTCTCATTAGGGCCTTATCTCCAGATTTGATTGGAGGGGAGAAGGGAGAGCCAGGACCTTATCTGGGCTGGAGAAGAGCTCCCAAGAGGAAGGGAGGCATGTTTGTGTGTTGCTGTTAATTGTGTTTATTTCTAGGGTATGTATTTCTATCTCATGGTGCATATTTTTGGCTCTGTATCATTCATTGTAATAGTGGTGAAATGCACATAAAATTTACCATTTTAACCATTTTTAGGTGTACTTCAGTGTCATGAAGCACATTCATGCTGTTGTGCAGTCGTCATCACTGTTCACTTCCTGGGCTCTTTTTTTCATCTTGTAAGACTGAAACTCTATACCCATGAAACAACTCACCATTTCTCCTTCCCTACCCCACACCCCCGAAACCACCATTCCACTTTCTGTCTCTATGAATTTGCTTACTCTAGGAACCCCCTGTAAGTGGAATCATACAGCACTTTTCTTTTGGGGACTGGCGTATTTCACTTAGCAGAATGTCAAGTTTCTTCCATGTTGTAGCATGTTCTGTGGCTAATATTCCATTGTGTTTGGGTACAGTTTGTGTGTGGTACTGGGGATCTGACATGCTCTAGACAAGCACTCTACCACTGAGCTATATCCCCAGCCCTCTATGTACTGCATATTGCATATCCATTCATCCATTTACAGACCTGTGAGAGCTGCTTCCACCTTTTGGCTATTGTACACAATGCTACTTGAACATGGGTGTACAAATTTGGTTCTGTATTTTTCTTTTCTTATTTGGTTCTGTTTTTGTATACTTCCCTCCATGCCCAAGTTTGTACTAAATTCTATTTTTGTATGTTAAGTAAAAAAATTCCAAGCCAGGCATGGTGGCACATGCCTGTAATCCCAGTGCTCAGAGGCTGAGTCAGGAGGATTGCTGCAGGTTTGAGGCCAGCCTGGGCTACATAGTGAGACCCTGTCTCAGAAAACAAATCTGGATATTTTTCAGCAGCCGGCCAAGTTGGTGCACGCCTGTAAGGCCAGCACTTAGGAGGTTGAGGCAGGAGGATTCCTGCAAGTTTGAGGCTAGCCTGGGTTACACAGCGATTTCAAGCTGAGTTCAGCCTGAACTACATCGTGAAACCTTGTCTCAAAAAAACAAAAAAATTCCATTTTTATTTGTAAGTAAAAAAAAATCACTGAATACTGGCAGTTTCTTATGGTTTAACTAAATATGTATGTACTACATATAACTACCTGTGCATGTACATATATGTATGTACTACCTGTGATTTTTGTGTGCCTGCTTGGCTGTCTTTATTATCTGGCCACATGCCAGTGTGTATACATACATATGTGTGTGTGTGTGTGCGCACACACGTGCGTGCGTGTGTGAAGATCTATTTGTGTGCTGAGTGTGGGCAGTGGGGTATCCTTGACTCAAAGCCTGGATTTTGGTATTGGATGTCAGTACAGGGGGCTGAGTTGAAAGGGGCAGGAGTGGGAGGACTGAGTTGAAGAGAAAGGTCCCAGGAATCCCTGACATCCTAATGATAACAGGGTGGACATCAAATCCAGCCCCGATCCCTGTGGGCTGGGTGGGTAAAGGGTCAGAAGAGGGTAGACAGCCCTTGGGGTGCTGCCCCAGGGTGATGGAAGCCACACAGACGGACCCAAGCCCAGCCCCTGGCTGCAGCGTGTAGTGCACAGGCCCCTTAATGACTGTTATTAAGAGGAAGGAAAATATTTTCCTGTTCAGAAGCTATGTCAGGCGCCTGCCTATCATTGCTCAGCCTTCCTGGGGGCCACTTAGCCTTGTCTGTTGTCTCTCCCAGGCAAGTGGCACCCGGGCAGTTGACTCGTGTGGGGGAGGAGGGGACACAGGCTGGCTTTGGCCTCCAGTGGCGGGCTGCTCTGATGCTAGTACTGCCACACACCTTCACTGTGGCACCTCTGGCCTAGGAGACAAGAGTCCTAGTGGAAGAGCAGCCAGAGTGTTCCCAAATGCCTTGAATCAAGGCAGAGCCACCTAGAAGCTGGAAAGACAAGGGAATAAGTGGTAAGGAGTCCCAGAGGCTGGCTTGAGCTGGGTAGTAAAGCTGAGGAAAGTTCCAGGCATGCCAACTGGCCAGGATACCCTGGAAGGTGCATGGAAAGGTGCTGCCAGGAAGGTCACTAGAGCTACCTTCTGAGGAGCCCTGAGGGCCTTGTTAAAGATGACTGCATGGAGGTTGGGAAGATTCCAGAACAGTATTTTAGGGTAAACTTAAGAAGCAGCCCTCAGGGAGAACTGCCCAAAGTACAGTACCAGCCTTTCAGGAGCAACCAATGGGGCAACTCACTGTCCCCTGAGCACTACACATGTCCTCAGGAGGCCCTTACTGCATTCTGAGTTATCTCATCCTGACTTTCCAGGGCTGTGGTTGTGCCACTGGACTGAGACCCCCTGGTTGGAGCCATGGTGAACTGAACTTCTCAGAGTCACAGGAGCTTAATCTCTAAAATGGGGCCAACAGCACCTCCTTCACCAGGCTGTTGTGAGAAATGCACTAGTCTGCATCAGGTGCTTGACTGAGGGCAGTCAGAGTAGCTCAGTTTGTGCTGAATTGCAGAGCTTTTCGGGCATGAACGGGCAATGGCTCAGTGAAGGCCCAAATACAGATGAAGCAGTAACCACAAGAGCTCTTGCTCAGTCCCCTTCTCCTCGACCAGGGTTGGCCCTGAAGGGCCCCTCCCTTTCTCCCTCCCTTCCTCCCTCCCTCCCATATGCAAAGATAGCACATTCTCCATCCACATCTACATAGTAAACTTACAGAAAGGATTCTCCATTCATAAAGGAGAAGTCTGCCCTTGTCAGTAATATTGGCAAAGGCATCATATTTATTGTTTTGTTGTGGTCACGCTAGGGATTGTACCCAGGGTTTTGTGGATGCTAAGCAAGCACTCTACTACTGAGCTATGTCCCCAGCCCAAAGCCACTGGCTTTGATGTCCATCTGTCTCTTGTGTCATCTCAGACTGTTCTTGACTTGAGAGGGGAACAGAAGAGATATTATCTGCTGACCCCTTAAGCCCTATTTTCATAGCTACCTCTCCTTGCCCATCCTGTTCCCCTTCCTTCTAACCATCCAATCCACCCAAAATAGACTTGATGGCTACTTTACACCAGCACTGGGAGCTTAAAGATGAGTAAGAGTTCATTTCTGCCCTGGAGGAACTCAGTTTAGTGGCGAAGGCAGACTCATAAATAATTATAAACCACAGATTAAAAGCTGAAGTATAAACTAAGTGCTTGGAGTGTAGAGCTCATGACTCATTCTAGAACCTTAGAGGAACCATGTTCCCAACCCACAACCCCTCAGCCCTCTCTCAGATGGGGGCCTGAGAGGTGAAAGAGCTTTTCTGGATGCAAGGAGAGGGAAAAAAGAGAAAGAGGAGCAGATTAGCTGACAGGCCAGGACTGTGAAACCAGGAGTGGGGCCCCTCAGGACTCAGCTTGTCTAAGGGTGACTGGGCAGGAGGTTTCCAAGCGCCTTTTGGCTCTGACATGGTAGTCTGTTACTGCTGACATAACAGCAGTGCTTGGATGTGCCTTTCGTGGAGACTCCTCTTCCAGGGTCTCCAGCTTCTTTTCTCTCCCCAGAGGGAAGGGGGACTCTTGATCTGGGCAGAATCTGGGTCCCAGACTCAGTAACATGGCTCAGGAGAGGTCTCTGGAAGCCACAGAAAGCCCTTGATGGGTGGTTAGCACCAGGGCAGCAGTGAGTGGGGGAGAGGTCTTGGCCAGAGGCCTGAGATCTATCCTATCCCTAAGACCAAATCTGGTTGGGGTGGACAAGGCATGATGGACACAGTGGGGAGATAACTGAAAGTGGGCAGGACTAGGGCAGCAATACAAGAGGGCTGTTCCCAAGGGTAGCGTTCAAACCCTTTGGGGCTACCCCTTCCCTGCCAGCACCCTGCCCTCCCACTGCACCCTAGTGGCCAACAGACTAGATTTCCTAGGCATCGACACCAGCTGGCATGAGGTCTCCTTTTATTCCTAGGTTCACCCTGGGAATCCCTTGTACCCCATCTGTCCTCCTAATCTCTCGTTTCAGAAAATGGTTCCCTCATCCCTACCAAGGCCAGGCCATGTTCTCAAGACCAGGCTTCCTTTCCATGGGGATCTGATTACAAGAATCCTTAACATTTACAGAAGTTTCCTACTTTGTTAAGTGCTTTACATTTCAGAGTTCTCCCTCCTTCACACACATCTTGAGAACTTACTTGAAAATCCCTGAGTTTTCACCTGTTCTCCTAATTCCTGTCTTTTTCTTCATTCTTTTCACTTAGTACCTCCCAAGATACCAATAGATAACACTCCCACATTCCGCCTTTGTAACCCTTTAAAGCCTGTATTCTCTCAACATTTGTGTTCCTGGAATATATAGTAAAACTCTTAGGCCTCCCGGGGTCACTCCCTGGCCCGGCCCCTTCTCTAAAGGAAGTCACTCCGAGAGTCCTCCTGGACACTCTCCCACCCATTCCTGGCTTCCTCTCCAGATTCCGCCTTCTGTGTGGCTTCCTGCTGTCCCTACCACCTCCTGTAAGTGCTCTGGCTTCCCAGCTGGCCTCCCCTCACCTCCGGGAACCCATCCAGTCTCAGGATTGCATTTATCCTTTTTATACCCCAACAGGGGCAGTCCCAATTGCCCCAACATACATCTCTCCCCTGTGCCCTCACTCTCCCAGGGCATCTCTACTGCTCAAAGTCCACCTCCTACCAGCCTGGCTCCTCATACAGATTGCTCAAGGTGCATCCAAAGCAGTGGGGGGCTCAGACTTGCTTCTGTCCAGGGTTACCTTGCAACAGTGAGTGGTGTCTTCTCAGTGGACCCGTTTCCTTATCCCCTGGTGGGCAGCATTCTCTGCCCTGCCTAGTCACACAGGGAGGGCTGTGATAATCACTCAGAGCAACATGAAGATTCTTCTTTTCCAGCTTGTCTTGTTCTAGACAGCACCATCTCCAGCTCAAGAGAGCTCTGAGACTGCTCCCTTCTTCAGGTGCCTTGGCAGCTGGACTCCCTTCCTGGCTGGGCCAGTCATGCTGGGCAGTGCTGTGCCGTCTGCTCCTGTCTGCCGCAGTCCAACAGAGAGTGCACGGTGGCTCCGTGTTGCCTATCAGGTGATGCAGTATCCAGGCTACCTTAGACTCATGACCCCTTGGTGTCCGAACTGTTCCTTCCCTTAGCAGCAGCCAACCCTACTGGCCCACTTGAGTCTGAAAAGCTTCAAGTTCCATGCCTTCACCAGGGAGCTCCTCACTTCCTGTTTTTATTTCCACCTCCCTAAGCTTTGCCCATTCTGTGTCCTGACACTCTTGAAGGCTTTTGTGATTCCTAACCCTCTTGTGGTGATTTTTCCAGTTTGTTGTGCATGTGCAATGGATTATTGCCACAGGTTTCTTTCCACTTCTTAACTACAGCATAACTGCCCCTTCTTCTATCTAGAACCCCCTTCTGGAACAAAAACGGGTTTTCATGTCAGAGCCATGCGAGTCTGCATGCAGAGTAAATCTGGGCCTTCCTGAGCTTGTTTCCCTCATCTGTAACAAGAACTTAATTCCTCACAGGATTGTCACTGAGGATTAAATGAGATAACAAGTGATAACATCAAGCAGTGTCTGGCACAGAGTGGAAACAAAATAGTGGCTGAGCTGAGCATGGTGGTGCACATCTGTAATCTCAGCACTCAGGAGGTTGAGACAGGATTGCCACGACTACACAGGAGGACTGCTGGATTACACAGGAGGACTGCTGGACTACACAATAAGACCCTGTCTCAAAAAAAAAAAAAGAAAAAGTAACCGAATCGTGGCCTGGACTTTAATGTCAGCTTGATGTAAGAAATAATGATTATTGATTATTTTATTTTATTTATTTTTTTGGTACTGGGGATTGAACTCAGGACCTTGCACTTGCTTGCAAGTCAGGCGCTGGAATCATTAAGCTACATCCCCGGCCCATTATTTTAAAATTTTTAGATAAAACTAAATCTTAGGGTACTAGTCACTAAAGTGTTTCTTCTGAATAAACTTCCTTTTTCTTTTTGTGGTGCTGGGGATCAAACCTAGTCTTGTATATGCTAGACAAACACTGCTCTACCCAAGCTACATCCTCAGCCTTAGTAGACTGGGGAATTTTTTTTTTTTTTTTGAGACAGGGTCTTACTCTGTAGTTCAGGCTGGCCTTGAACACTCAGCGATCCTCTTGCTTCAGCCTCCTGAGTGCTAGGACTACAGGCGTGTGCCAACACACCCAGCTAGAACTATGTAACCTTAAGGCTTTCAGGAAGCTCAGGACAAGGTTTTGCACTGAACTGCACATCTCCTTGCTGACTTGCAGGGGGCAGCACTGTTTGGGGAATGAACAGGGGTCCTGGGGTCACATGACATGGGCTGAATAACCTCCTAGGGCTCTTGCCCTTAGTTTGCTCACGTGTGGAAGAGGGATAATAACAACAGTGAAGATAGCACCTATTTTTATAGGGCTGTGGTGAGAAAACACATTTAAAATATTCTGTAAATTACCCAAAAATAAGTCACCTGAAAATTGGTGATTAGCAGTCTAGGTTTTCTGATATATTTATTTTCCCTCACAATATTTGCATTTATCTTTCCAAAATTTTGATTTTGGTGAGATAGGGTCTCACTATGTAGTCCAGGGCAGCCTTGAAGTATGCAGGCCAGGTTGGCCTTGAACTCTCAGCAATCCTCCTACCTCAGCCTCCTGAGTGATGGGATTACAGGTATGCACCACCATGCCCAGCTTGTCTGTTTTAATAGTTTTCTTATAACTGTGTGTCTTGCTGTGATCTTTTCCGAAGTATAGAGAGCATAAATACATGAAAAAATCATTCATCATTCGTAAAGAACAATCTCACTAGGAGCAAGATGCCATGCTCTTTACTTGTATAATAACAATTTACTTTAGAAAGATAATTTGGCTGGAGCTTTTGGTTTTGGGTCCTGTGCTAAGCCCAAAGAAGGAGTTTAATACTTTAGCATTATTTTTCTTTTTCTTTTGGGATGCTGGGGGCAAGAGTGCTGCACATACTGGGCAAGTGCTCCCAAGCCCATTTATTTGAGGCAGGGTCTCTTTTTAAGTTGCTCAGACTGGCCTCAAATTTGTGATCCTCCTGTCTCAGCCTCCTGAGTAGCGACGATTACAGGCATATGCCACTACACCTGGCTTAGTAGTATCATTAAAATAAGCTGAACTGTAGGACAGCTGGGGAATGACCCCAAAAGAGGCTTTTTTGTTGGGCTTGTACTAATAATGAGTGATAATTTAGGCATTTGTTCTCTCATTTAAAAAAGTATACATGGATGCTGAGCCAAGCACTCTGCTGGACACTGGGAAAACGAAGGCGATCCACAATATGGTATTTGCAGCTCACAGTGCAGTATGGGAGGCAAGTGTGTGGGAAAAAAATCATCTCAAAGCGGCAAGGAGGCGCTAAGTGACCAGAGTACACTGTAAACAGCACCATGGACAGAGGGGCATACATGGGGGCAAGGGAGTCACACCTGAGGGACCTTGGGATTTCTGTAGTCAGCAGCAGGAGACACACGGTGCAATAGAGGTCACATAGTGTGGTCCCTTCAGGTAACCTCACGGGGCTTCAGTGTCCTCAAGGAAGAAATGGGCTAGAGACCCATAAAAACAGGCTGGGATGGAGGCAGGGGAGAAAAGCCTGTAGCCACCAAGGAACCTAGATTTTACCTTGTAAGGGAGAGGGATTGGCGTGGCCAATGAAAGATGCTGATGGCCAGGAAGTGAGGGCTTTGAGACATCACAGATGTAACAGATCCCACTTAGCTCTTTCAAATGTGGCTCCATGTTACAAGTTGCTATATTTGATGACCACCGAATCCTCTGCAGGCAGGGACCGTCTACTTGCTGCTGGGGGACCGACCCATCTAGGGCCTGCATGAGCATCCAATGCAGATGTTAAGCAGAGCAGTCAAGTTTTGGACCAGGGCTAGCCCAGATGATCTTTAAAGTTCCTTCCAAATCTGAGGTTCCAGAATTCTAAAGCAAGCCCGGTAGCTAAACTGGTGCTATGGGCTGGGCTCTGTGGCTGGGGAGCTGCCCTGGGCAGCAAATGGGTTAACGCTCAAATAACTTTTATATATGAATTAATGTGCAGAGCTGGGAGCCAAAATCTGTTCCATTAATTTTTCCATCCATTCCAGGAGCAGTTAGGTACACACAGTAAAGTTTATTTTGGTGCATGGTATACTTCACTCCATTAAAAATAAATTAATCAGCAAATTCCTGCCTGGCTTGGCTCTGGTTTATGTAAATAGTGCCCAGCTGTAATGAGTTACAAGGTGTTATTATCTCACACACAGGAGGCTTCACTCTAGAGCTCCACTTGCAACAAAAGCATCTTAAATAAACCGAGAGAAGGTGGTTTGATTTGTAATGTTTTCACAGAAGTAGGGTATACTTCACCTGTACAGAGTTTCTTTATACGACTCATTTTATAGTGAGGTCAATGAAGGAAGTTTGAAGGGGGAGGGAGGGGCGAGATGGTTCCCCGCCCTCTTCAGTTTAAGAAAATCTCCTGAGAGATGACCCACACTCCAAGGGAGGAGGGAACTGGCCCTCCAGCTCTTGGCCAGGCGGCTCTGCAGCAGGGACTCCAGAAGCTGGGAAGTAGGCAGAAAGCTGGACATGCGGCTAGGTCCTCGGATGCTGTAACTAAGCCAGGAAGAATGTCCTTTCGCCCCAACATCTCATATAAGGGAAGGCCACAAAGAAAAAAGCAGCTTGTCCCTCACCCAATTCACTGGGGGGTAACAAAAGGACCTTTGTTCTTGAGGCTTCTCTGTAAATGACTTGGGATGTGACAAGCCCCTTGGACGTCAGAGTCATCCGGGGCACCAGAGGATGGGCCTGCCCCAGACAGTGATACATCTTGTAAACCGAAGGCAAAACCAGCAGAGGCCCCGATCTTTCCCCTTTCCCTATCTCTGAGCTGGGAAGTGCTCTTAAGCTTATGGCAGCCACGGTCTCACACAAGTTCCTAAAAAGACTGTAGAATGGGGCCCGGGATTTAGCTCAGTGGTGCCTCTGCCTGCCTCGAAAGCACAAGGACCCGAGTTCGATCCCCAGTACCAAAAAAAAAAAAGACTCTAGAATAAAGAAAAGCCATGACAGAGATATGTCTGTTTCTCTTTTTGTTTGTTTTTTGGTACCGGGGATCCAATTCAGGTCCTTGGGCTTGCAAGGCAGGCAGCAGAAGCACTGAGCTAAATCCCCGGCCCACATCTTGTTTCTTTTAATGGCCACCTCAACCACATGGCAAAGCCGGGGACAGAGTGTGGCTAACCCATCTTGACCTGGCAACGTTACAAATAGCTCCTAGGCTGCAGCAGGCCTTGGTGGTGAGGTGAGACCCCTTTCTACCCTCTCTACCCCTTCCTTTGGGAAAAGCTGCTGGAGGGATTTGGGGAGCATGTGTTAGGGAGCTCTTACTTAGGGCTCCTCTGTTGTTTTTTGTTATTGTTTTTGCAGTACTGGGGATTGAACCATGGGCTTTTGCACTGAGATATATCTCCAGGCTTGTTCCTATTATTTATTTTGAGATAAGGTCTCACTAAGTCACCCAGGCTGGGCATGGACTTGCAATCCTCCTGCCTCAGCCTCCCAGAGTGCTGGGATTACAGGTGTGCACCACCATGACCGGCTTTGGGAGCTCCTCTTGTGGGAGACAACACCTCAGAAGAGCTAGAGGTTCTCTCACCATTATTCCCCCACCAGATCAGACTCCTGGGCACACTAAGAGGAAAATCAACACAAATGGGCCAGGTATTTGACAGATGCTGTTCAAAGGTCAGTTCAGGCCACTTTCTGCAGGTGCCTGGGCCAAGCAAGCACTTCTCTTGCCACAGTTCCTCAAAGCCAGCTGGCCAGCAGCCTGGAGGGACCAGCCCCTCAAAGACCCTCATCATTATAAGTAGGAGTGTGGGGCTTCAAGATGCTCTGAGGATTCTTCTCCACCAGAGGGCGCCAGCTCACTTCCCCAGTCAGAAGCAGATCCTCGCCATTCATGGAGTCCAGATACTGCATCTGCAGGGAACAGAGGAAAAGGATGGGGCAAAACACATCCAAGGTGATAAAAGCTGGGAAGTAGGCAGCTTCCCCAACAAGAAGAGAAAGGGAGCTTTGGAGTTTCTGACCATCTAGCTCTCAGGCCAGGCTCTCTGATCTCCAGGTATTTTATTAAGGAGATCTGGGGAAACAGTCACTGGGGAAGGTTGTAGGGAATTCCTTATGACAACTCTGAATAGAGACAGACCGACACCCCCACCCCCACCACCCAAGGACATGTTTTTCTCCCCTCACTACATCCTCCCTCCAGAGATCCTGCAGGCCAGGAAGTCAGAGCTTGTGACTTACAGAATTCACCCCCATCCAATGCTGCTGGGAGAAAGAATCCCAACTCTGTCCCTTCCTAGTTACCCCATGTGGCCACTTCTCTTTTCTCAGATCTAGGTACTTTTGTCTGACAGGATAGAAATGTGTGCCTCATGGGCCGAAAAGGAAGATTAAATAAGGCACATGCACAGTGCTAGTCACTCAAATGAGTTTTTCCCAACATGGATACCTCCACTGTCCTCCAGGGGCCCTGATGCTGGCCAGTGGGTCCAGCTTCCCCACTACAGGACGGCTGGGGGGGGCAGCTCTGCTGTTGAGGTGGTCATCATTCTAGAGATGCCCCTGCTGTTCTCCTATGACTCTTGCCACTTATCCTTGGTGTTCCCACTAGAACCAGGGGAACCAAGTGCCATATACTCCTGCTCACCACAACTGAGAGCTGCTCTGACGTCTAGAGACAGCAATCACATCCCTTCTGGGCTTTCTATCATTTCTGCCTCCAGCCTATTTGGCATGGAGATGGCGAGCTCCAGATGCCACTGCCCTGGGCAATGCTAGGCCTCTGGATGCTCTCAGACCTGCCCAGAAATCTAGATGCACAGCCCTCCCTATGGAGAGGGGACACTTGTGAACACAGGCAAATGGGAGCAGGTGCAAAAGAAGGGAGTCTCAGAAGATGAAGGCAGCTCTGGGGGGACTCATCAGGCCACTTGCAAGGACAGAGGATAGCAGGAGAAATACTTTCAAGTGGACAGATCACATTTCCAGTGAAAACTGGACCAGAGCAGGAGGTGGTACTGGACCTAGAAAGATGAGGTTCCTCAGGGGAGACAGAAAGACCAGGGGCTTCATTTTAGGTCTTGAATCAGCCCCTTCTTCCAAGAACTAATCACGTATTGCTCCATCTTCAGACTGCTGACCCCTGAAATCAATCCCAGCCTCTCACACAGACCTCAGGTTGGGCCGGGGATTTAGCTCAGTGGTTTCGCCACCTGCTGCTCAAGTGCAAGGACCCAAGTTTGATCCCCGGTACCAAAGAAACAAAAACAAAAACACAGACCTCAGGTCTAGAATCCCACGTTCCCTGTATCTCTTCAGGGCAAGAAGCTCAACCAAACTACTTTCCCTAAAACTCATCCCCTTCCCAGCAACTTACCCTAACACCACCACTCTGCCCATTTCCTTGGTTGCAAACCTCAACATAGCCTGGGAGTATTATCATGCAGTACCAAGCATAGAACTATCTTCTGCTCAAGGCCCAGCTTCCTGGTCTTCCCTGATCCACTCAGTCAAAATGAAACTCTTTCTCTACCTTACTCCAGGGCTGGCTGTGTGCCTAACTGGCTCCTTGATACAAGACTGGGCCTCATCAATCTCTGCTCTCCCAGCACAGGCCTGGGGATTGCAGGTTTGCTGATAGAACTGGGTCCCCATCAAAGTGCCCTGCTTTCCTAAAAGCCTCATCACTGTTTTCCTGGCTTTCACCAGGGTCACAAGAGTCTTACAGAAACATTAATTGTGGCAGGTTCTTCCTTTTGGGACCCTGGAGAGGTCCCAGCTGTGTCTTGTTGTGGCCTCTGGCACAAGCCCATCATAGCAGATGGAAAAGTTGGGTGGGTCTCTGAGAAAACAGCATTTGATTTGCCAACTGCTTCTTTAAGGGCAAGTCCTGTCAACTGTGTGAGTCTCAGAATTCTCTGTGGGTGGGCCCCTCTGGCCACAGTACCTTCTGCCTAGCTCTGACAGATATGAAGAATGGTCAAACAGAAGTCCTGGCTTCTTGGGCTTTCTACCATCTAGATCTGAAGAGTCTCAATATGACAAATTTCCAGCAACCAATTAGGTAGTCCTACTGGCCCTGGCTCCTCAAGATCTGGGGGTTTCTTTTTTCTACCTTTGGAGGCACGAAGGCCATAGATACAGGTGAACAAGAGACTTAACTGTGGAGTGAGGGCCCTTCTGCCCTACAGCCCAGGCCCAGGAAGCAAAGGTGTGACTCACAGACAGCCCAAGTTGATGAGCTGTCTGCAGCAGCTGAGGTCTCTAGCATTACATAAATCACCCAGCTTGAGGTCCGAGGCCAGTAGTATGGGCTAACTCACTGAGAGACCCTGGAAAAGAGTCTATGTTTCTTCTCCCTTTCACTCAGCCCACGCATCTAGAAAGTATGAGTTTTCCCTCAATATAGGATCTGGGGGCAAGGAGATCAAGGAGTTAATTCTCCATGGCTTTGAGAAAGCTCTGTGGTTAAGCAGTCCTTGAAGGAGAGCTTCTCCTAGAAACCTTAGAGTCAGGGAGCCCTGGGGACACAAAGGGGTAAAGACCTGAGTGGGCTGCTTGCCTGGGGAGAGCAGCCTGTGGAAGAGGATGGGTGTACCTGTGGAATGGTGCTGGGGCCCAGTCCTGCTAGAAGTCAGGAACAGGAAATGAGTCCTGGGGCTCTAAGTGTGTACAGAAGGGCTGACTATGCTCCTGTCTTCCAGGACTCCATGGGCACACAGCAGGTAATGAAATGTGTAGTGAAGAATGGCTATGACTTTCTGAAAGCCAAAGGCTAGCTACATGGTGTCCTTACCTCTACCCTCATGTGCTGGCCCCCCATCTGGCTCATGGCTGGACACACAGAAGGGACACATGGGTCACTGGTGCCAGCTACTAATGGGGCCAGGTCAGAACTCCCTCAGATTGGCCTCTGGTAACTCACTTTCCTATGACCCGGATGTCCAGGATACACAGGGCTTGGGAGGGCCCACTTCCCATAAGACTTGCGGGGGGCGGGGCGGCAGGGGGCTGGTGGCCCTCACCTGTTTCCTCACGTATTCCACCACCAACTCAAGCTGTCGAGGGTCTTCACATTTCTGGTTGAAGAAGGTTCTCCAGAGGGCAGCAGCCAGCCCGTGATCATCTGAAAGGATCCCCTGGAACATAAAGTGTGACTACTGGTCTTCCAGGGAATACTGTAAAGCCATGACACAAACATTGGAGAAAATGTGATCACAGGAGCAAAGAAATGGCTTAAACTCTGTAATCCCAATACCCTGGGAGGCTGAGGCAGGAGGATCACAAGTTCAAATTCAGTCTAGACAACTTAGTGACTTAGACCCTGTTTCAAATAATAAAAAGCAAGAGAGCTGGGGATGTACCTCAGTGTGATGGCCTCGAGTTCAATCCACAGTACTGCTAAAAAAACAAATAAAACAAAAAATCCCCCAACAACACAAAAAAACTTACTGGCTCAGAAATGTAGCTACATGGTACAGCTGGAAGGGGTTTTACAAGAACATGTGGGGCCGGGGATCTAGCTCAGTGGTGCTGCTGCCTGCCTTGCAAGCACAGGGTCCCGAGTTCGATCCCCAGTACCAAAAAAAAAAAAAAGAACATGTGGTCCAATCCTTTTGTTTTTTTGTGGGGGAGGGTATTTAGACAAGGTCACACTTTATAGCCTAGGCTGGTTTTAAATTTGTGCCAAACCTCTTGCCTCAGCTTCCAGAATGCTGAGATTATAGGTGTGTCCCACCACACCTTGACAACGCCTTCCCTTTATGCAGAGGAAGAACATGGAACCAGAGGGGCCAAGTCAGTGGCCGAGGTGATGCAGATCTGGGACTCATGTCTGGTCTGCCCTCCCAACCCAACTGTACTGTGCCTGGCCCAGGCAATGTCTGGGAGGCCAAGAAGAGAAATGGAATAGCAGTGCTTCTGCTGCTGTCCATGGGGCATGGGCAGTACTGTGAGTGTACATTTCCCCAGTAATGGAGGTGGGTGTGGACTGCTCCTTCTCAACTGGTTCACAGGCACATATCTGCAAGACAGCCAGCTCTTTGGGAAAGAGAGCCAGGTACCTTTCTTTCATTGTTGCCCGTCTCTGGGCTGGTCACATGATTGGTTCAGCCTCTCCCTAAGGAGACGAATAGGCTGTTCAGCAGGATCGCCAAGGGCTTCAGAAGGCCACCAAGGGAAACGTTCAGAGCCTGCACATGTCCACGCCTGACATTGCCTCTCCTGGCACAGGGAACTCTGTTGGGAAGCCTGAACACCAAAGAGGCTAATTACAGCCATTTTCCAGCTCAGGCCTCTAGGGGAGAGAGGAGTGTGGGCAACTGAAGGGAAAGGCCTCAAGAAGTTGCTCTGTCTGGGAGCCAAGGTAGTGTGTGGAACCAAGATGCTGACATGGGGAGTCAGAAGGCTGGATCAAGTCCTAGCACTGTAACTGCCACACTCATTGGTGGTGGCTGAACCTGAGTCTCGGACTTCTCAGCTACTAGGAAGAGATAAAAATATTTGTTTCACCTACAGCATCCTTGAATTATGAAAATAAGA